CATGATAGGGAATGGGTTTTTAATGTTGAAATTTTAAAATTTATTCACTGAGGAGGCTACTTCTCAATCAAACTTTGATCTCTCGTGTCTACTACCCAACTATTGAAGAAATGATGTCGAGTCATTTTGGTCGTACCATTGAGGATGAGGAAATTACTGATGCCATTAAGAGCATAGGGGCTCTTATGTCTCTTAGGTCAAATGGTTTCAGTGCAGTCTTTTACCAAACCCAATGGAGTCAAGTGGGGGAGTCTATTATCCCAGCAGTCAAACATTTCTTCAACAATCCACATGAGATCAAAGAGGTGAATGGCACACTTATTGTCTTGACTTCAACAAAAAACAAAAAAAAAATCCCCCGGAGATGGTATGTGATTTACATCCTATTAGTTTTTGTAATGTTATATTTAAGACTATAACTAAGGTTATTACTAATTAGATGAAGTCTTTTCTCCCTGAGATCATATTACCTAACCAATGCAGTTTTGTTCCTGAAGACATAGCTCCAATAATATTATTGTGACTTGGGAGGTGATTCATTCATGAGGAAAATGCAGGGCATGCGTACTTTCATGGCCACAAAAATTGATCTGGATAAGGCTTATGACAGGTTGAATTGGAAATTCCTAATGAACTACATTCAGGAATTATGTTTCCCTCCTCAAAGTATTGATGTTATTCACCATTGTATTTCTTCCTCTTCTATGCAACTTCTTTGGAATGGTAACAAGTTCGATTCCTTTGTCCCTTCTAAAGGAGTCCAATAAGGTGACCCGATATCTCCATACTCATTGCCATTTGTATGGAGAGATTTGCTCATCTGATTCAGCAGAGTTGAAGATGGCATCTGGCATCCTATCCTCCTTGGGATAGACGGCCTTCGAGTGTCCAATCTATTTTTTGTAGACTACATCATTTTGTTTGAGGAAGCTTCTCGTTTGTAGGCTGAAGTTATAAATGACTGTTTGAAGATGTTTTGTGAAAATTGAAGGTGAATGCAACTAAGACACGAGTTTCTTTTATAAGAATGTTCATAACATTCGAAGGAAAGAACTGAGTTCGATATTGGGCTTCTCCAGAACAACTGATCTTGGACGCTATATAGGAGTTCTCGATTGCATTCAAAAGCAGTAGATAAAAATACATTTAGGGATATTATTGATAAAGTGAAGAAGCGCTTGTCTTCCTGGAAGGCCACGGCTTTGTCTTTAGCTAGATGTACAACTCTCGTCTTTGCCATGACCTCAGCCATCCCTAGATATACCATGTAAACTGCTTTGTTACCTGTGCAAACCTGTGAAACTCTTGATCATCTGAATAAAATTTTCATATGGGGGACTATCATGGAAAAAAAGAAAATCCACTTAATTTTGTGGAATGAAGTGGGGAAGAGCAAGAAAAATGGAGGGTTAGGGATTAAGCATGCTCGGTCACAGAATCAAGCATTCTTAATAAAGCTTGGCTGGAAGCTCATGAAGCAGAAAGATGATCTCTGGGCTAAAGTTATTTGGGTAAATATAAGTGCGGGAATGACTTAGTGCCCGTTATTAAGAAGTCTAGATCAGGATCCAACATCTGGTTGGGCATTAAGGCAACGTGGGATAAAGTTCTTGAGGCATCAGAGGTTGTACAGGAAGGTCGAGAGGTTCGATGGAAGCTAGAGAAACTTGGAGATTTCTCAATCAAATCAGCTTACCAATACCTTAGAAAAGAGGATAGCATCAGAGATACCATATGGGTTAACCTCTAGAAAATGAATGTCCCACACAGGTGTAAGTCTTTCATGTGGCTTGTGCTGCATAATAGGATCCTCACTAATGAAGCTTGAGTCCACGGGAGATTAAGCATGGATGCAGGCTGCCAATGGTGTCCAGATATTAATGAAGATGTACTCCACATGTTTACGAGATTGTCCTCGGACTTACCAATAATAGAGCAAGATCGTCAATCCTTTTCATAAAGGAGTCTTTTTCGGCTCTAATCTTGCACAGTGGCTACGGCAAAATTTGATAGGTCCTGGAAGCCATATGAACAAGGAATGGACTTGCAGCTTTGCTTTAAGTTGCAGGCAAATATGGCAAAGACAAAATCTGCATTTTTTTAAAAAGAATAACAAAAGCAATGAATCTCTTCAAGCTCGTGTGGAATCAATCAAGTTGAATATGACAACCCAGAGATTGTTAAGGAATGCCAACCTCTTAGGGAAAAACATGAACGCGTCTAGAGTGCATTGGCAGGTTCCTCCTCATAATTGGATTCTTGTGAATGTGGATGGGGCCTTCTCTCTTACCACTGCCAAGGGAGGAGGAAACGCATTCGGTGCTCATCACTCCTATGGGGTGATTTGAGCCTTTTATTTCTCTTGTTGTTAATTTAAAATTATTTTTTAAATATTTTAATATTATATTTATAAAAATAAAATATATAAAAATTATAAAAAATTATTATTAAATATGGATTGTTTTTTATATTATTAGAGGATAATAATACTCATCACTTTGATAAGATTTGAATAATCTAAATTTAAGCTTTTTACTTTTATTTTATTGTTGTTGAAATAAAAAAATGTAAAAAAAATAGAAATCTATAATAAATTCCTTTATACCAATCTGGCCAATACAGATTTAATCTAAATCACCAAGTTTAATATTATTTTTTAATAATTTTTATAAATTAACTATTCAGATGTATTCTAAACAATATAGATATAATTTGAAAGGTCCAATTTAATATTAAAAATTTTATAATTTTAATTAATTGATCATCTAGATATATTCTATACAAATCATATTTTATATTATAATTTTTTATAACTTTTACTTTGATAAATAAATATAATATAAAAATATTTAAAAATTAGTTTTAATCAACAGCAAAGATCATTTTAAAAAAACAAACAAAATGAAGGGCCCACATCGCCCCATAGGTGATGAGCATATGAGCACCGCAGTAGGTCCCGAGGGAGGATGCAGAGGTGTGCTGAGAAATCATTCAGGATTATTTGTTTCTGGATATGTGCATGGCAATGTTGGAACTGATAGTTAACCTCTCCTTCTGATGCAGTTAATTTAATTTTTGCTGATTGTAATAACCTCAACTCCAGTTAGTCAAGTTGTGCCTTTTTTTCTATCCAAAATAAAAAAAAAATTGGTTCATTAAAAAAAAAAACACCCACGTACACACTAAAATCCCACTTTCTAAAAGAAAACATCTTTTTTTTTCTATTTTTAATAATTAGTGTTTGATTTTGCATTTGCACACTTAAGGTTGTTCATGAAACTGCTGAAATAATGTGCCTTTGCATTTTTCCAATCAGGGTTTGTACAATCTAACTGGACCAGCTGATTCAATTAGTCCGATCAGAAATTAACCTATGATTCAGTGAACCTATCAAGAATTGGTTAGAATCGGTCAAAATTGGTGTGAAACTAATTAAAATCAATTTACATCCGTTTTAAAAAAAGAATCTCAATAACCTAAACTTATATTATTTTGTGTTTTTATTTGTTTTGTAATTGATTTTTCTTTAGTGTTATAATATATATATATATATATATATATATAATAGAAGCTTGTCTTGGTATGATTAGGCGATTTATGTGACATATTTGATTATTTTGGTCATTTTCAATGGACAATCAATAGTTTTATTATAATTTTGGAGCAATTAACTATAAATTTGACTTGTATGATAAGAATATGATTAAAATTATTTAAAATATTTTAATATTTTATAAATATTCTATAAATTTTATTCTTTTAATTTAGACCGATCGAATCACGATCTGACCATAGTTCAATGAACCACAATCCTGATTAGTTCGATACACTGTCCGGTCATGATAACATTACTTCCAACACAAATGAAAGTTTACTCTAATATTTATTGACAGAACCAATCTTTTATTGTTATATAGTTTTGACTACTAACTCTTGTTGGCCAATAAGGTTTCCGCTTTAAGATGGATTTAATTTAAAAATGAACCTTTATTATTTGTAATTTTATCATGATGGGGCTGGTATGTGGATGCTGACTACCATTTCCACCGCAAACTTACACTATTTGTAATTTTATCATATCCCCAAAAACAAATAAATAATATTTAAATAATGGAGCCCAGGAATCCCATATAACAAGTTGATAACAAATTATAATAAAAGACAAACAAATGTATTTCATCAATGGGTTAAAATGTTATGGTAGTACTAATAGAACAAGTCAACATTTCTGGACTTGGATTGATTTCTTTTGTGACAGGATTCATAGTAACTCCCAAATCACATTCACATGAATCTCAAATAACATTTATAATAATTTTTTTAACAAAAAACTTATATAATTAACTTTATATACTTAATATACTTGCTTTTAATTAAATCAAGATCCCTGCATTTTTTTATAAATTATTTATTCTTAAAAAAATCTCTTGTTATTACTATTATTAATACATTAAAATTCACTTATTTAAATTTTGAATGGATAAAAGTGTATTACATATATAAGATTGAGTACTTAAATCTTGTTTGGCCTTATCAAGATACCCCATAGAGATATATTTTTTTATTGTAAAATAGAAGCATCAAAATTTATGTACATAGCTCGACTAATAAAATTTTAAAATCCACTTGGAACTATAGATAAAAAAAATTAAAAAAAATTGACAGATTAATAATAATTAAATCCTTAATAAATTTTTTGAGAAATGATTTGAAAATACTAATTCAAATAATTACAAATTCAAGAGCTTCAACTGCATACATCACATTTAAGCTTCAAATGTAACTATCAAATTGAAATTAAGATTATTCTTTGTAACTATCTAAATTGGTACTTTCAACTCATTTTAATAAAAAAAAATATTAAAAACCTAACTATCATTAATTCACTCTTTTGAGATCTAATTATCATTTTTTCTTTAAAAAAAACCCTCCAAAGATACCAAGAATGGGGACAAACAGAAGCCATTTTCAAGTACATTAAAACTCACAACTATAGGCCATTTCCAAGTCCTGAATATGTAGTTACGTTAAATAAATACACCAAAAAAATCCCCGAGATACTTATAAGGCCGCCAATTGATACAACGGCTCCACACAATGGGAGTTTAGATTAAGTCTGAGCAAGAAGTGATAATCCACAAGTTTTCTAGGATACGAAGTAATGGAATAACCAAAAAAGAGTAAAAATTAAAAAAGGACATATAAATAAGAACACCTATTAGCAAACCAATTGCAGCCTCTGCTTTTGTAAATCATCATGAAACTCCTGAAAATCATGAAAACACCTATACACTTTACCTTTTCCTCAAACAAATTATAAGAGAAAAATTTGGGTCACAGTAATATAATCAACTTGCTTTCGTGTTGACATGATCAGAGAAAAATTTGAAGGAGGATTTTCAACTTGTTCTGTTTAGATGTGAGAATTCTGGTGAATTACCCTGAAGCCAAAAGCCAAAGCATAATTAAAGATGAAATCAAAATTGTAATCCAGCTCATAAAAGCAAAAGCAACAGAAATCTGATACTTTTGGCATTCTTCTCCAAAATTGCAGTGTCCCAAATCATTGAAGTACAAAACTGTAATGCCAGCTGAGGCAGAAGCTGCTGCTAGAGATAATGTTGATGTTACCTGTGGACAACAGTTGAGAGGTAGGAATATGTCAAATGTTGAAAGCGATGAGCACACAACTCTGGCCACACGTTTACAAGGAAAGATGGGCCGTTTGGTACAGGGAACAAAAAGGAATGAACAAAAAAGCAAATTTTTTAAAAAAGGTCATTTTATGGGCAGAAAATATCCCTTCATATACGCAAAAGTAATGACAAGACAGTTATCATTAACAAATCTCTTTCCGTTAAAGGGTGTTTCATAAAAAGAATTGAAAAGGCATTTCTTTTTCGTTGCATAAAAGCGTGGGAGGTGTGTGTGTAATATTTATATCAATATTAATGATTACTAAACAATAACTATTTATTTCATTTTATTTTTTTAATTCCAGGGAGGAGAAAAGACATTTTCCAAAGGACAAAATCCCTTTTCTTTTGTTTTTTGGGTTCAAATTTTCAATTTCATTTCATTATAATCTGTGTAACAAACAACCCCTTAGAATCATACAAGTTCGAAGAACAGCAAAAAGTTAAGCAGGGGCTAACCCAGTCTCCGACCACAAAGAGGCTAACCAGTATGGCATTGTGGATGACCTTCTTTCTCATCCAAGCATATGCATCCAACAAAGCAAGCACGAAACTCCATATGACTTGTAAACCCATTGAAGCTAGCAAGTAACTGTAATACAAGAGATTTTAGCACCAGATTGTTCCTCAACAAACATCCAAAAATTTGATTGGAGCAACAAGAACACGATTTCTACCAATGAATGATGGTGAATCAGTTTTGGTGAAACATAAATCATAAGAATATCTTGAAAAATATGGAGAACACACATGAAAGGAAGAAATGACAACTTATAATACAGGCATACATCACACTGCAATGAGGTTTTATTAACAATCCCCTTCCTTAGCCAACTTCCTTTCCATCTCCCCTAAAAACCTAGTTTCCTACTTATATGCATTCATTATAATTGGAAGTTCATTGTGCATTGAACCTCTTTTACATGAAGAACCAAAACGCCTATGCCATTTCAAACTCAATTTTAAATTTCTTAGCATCAAAGCATATGAAGCTTAAGAGAAAGGCTTAGAAATATGATGGAAGATAACACCATGATTAATTAGATAAATTCAGAGAGGTAAAAAATGATCTCATTCAAATTCTCTTGGGAACAAATGGGAGGGAGGAGAAGGCCCAAGAAGAAATGCAGTGTGGGAATATGACAAAGCTTGAGAATCACAGAAGACTTACAAATCATTACCTATGACCTACAGCAGAAGATTAAGGAAGGGAAATACCACCAGTGAAGAGGATTACACTGAGGGTGCTGGCCGTAAGGGTAAAAAGAAGGGCTGAATAAGTAGGTTTTAGGTGCAGCTTGAGGGTAGGAAGCGTGTCATGTAACTTTCTGTGTTTTAAATCTTCCATTTCTGACAGAGAAAGGCAAGGTTAGTCTTTTGGAAGTATAGTGAGAATTGGGAGAGTTCTGGCCTCTCGTAAGTCCAGAGTCTGTGTCTTTTATTCAGTTCTTGTTATTTTGTAATCATTATTTTGACTGTAATTTATGCATCTGGGTGTATGAGGGACATGGGTTGAGCATGAGCCAGCTGTTTCTCCTGTAGTCTGAATTAGTTATTTAGTAAAAGAAATATCAAACCCAGTTTCATGCCATCTTTCTTGCTGTCTATTTCTGGTTATAGTCCTGTATCATCTTGTTATAGCAGTGCGTTCTAAACAGAATACATCAAGAAAACCTCTAGCAAGCCGAGAGTAGTGCAACTTGCTTCTTGAATTCTATGTAACGCAGTCTAGCAAACTTAAATGAATTATGAAACTAAAAGTCAATATGCCATCTGTTGCAACAGAATCGTCTTGAAATCTATTTGTCCAGTGCATAAGTTTAAATTCTATAGGGCAGGTGGATGCATTTAGCCAGTGCACATGGATATAATGTTTAGGTAGTCATCGTGCCTAACTGAGACATGCAGGAGTATGGTCAACTGGGAGATATATTAGTCAGACATTAAAAGCATCTAGTCCAGGAACTTTATAAATCAGAAAGCAGTTATACGAAACATTCTGAATAGAAATCTCCATAGCATCAATTAGCAGGTTACATAGCAATAGTAAAGAATCAAGACTTACTTTTATAAGCATGTACAGTAGTAAACATTGCAATTACTTGGCAACAAGATTTCCACTTCTAGTTCACAAATGCTTTGAGAATTAAAGATTCTGCTTCAAGGACTTTGTGTATAGGAAAGGAACGGGATTGTGTTCCATCATATGAGAGAACAGTTGAAACTATCTCAGAAATCAGAAGCCATTATGTCAAATAGGCAAATAGCCATGGCAATCATCTTCTAACTATAAATATCTTTTTGCCCTGTGCAGAATCTAATATGAGCAACTGATTCAACTATTTCAACAAGCACAGACAGTTGATTCTTTACTACTAGGTGATCCTCACCCTTAGATGCGTCATTAAAAGACAGAGTTTTAGTGCATTTGTCTAGTTAAGGGAAATATTTATTCTACTTCCGGTTGCATTCCATACTTTGACAAGCAAGCAACTATTTCATAATATTGAGATCAGATCAATCATAATTCAAACTACATTACATGACAAGTAAAAGAAGTAGTACAAACGTTCAGTAGTACAAATGACATGTAATGAAGTAGTAACTGCTAGATTACTGAAACTGATCTCCTAAGATTGTTGTATAAAATCCCGATCCGCACAAGATAAACTGGGTGATTTCCATACATTTAAAACAAAAGTAGGGGCGTTAACCGGAATCAGTTGAATCAATCACTAACAAGTAACTAAGATCAAAGAGTTTTAAGAAAACTAGATTCCATCAACATAATCACTTCAAAAGATAATTTTACAATTCAGACAGAGAGGATACTCACCAAAATGCCGTGAAATTAAAGAAGCCTGATGTGGTAGCCATGGAAGCAATTGATCCAACAGCACAAATGCACTGTGAAATCCTCAGAACCAACCCCGTGAGGGTCCCAGGCGTCCCAGGGAAATCCTTCATTTTCCTCTCCAAAATTCTAAAGACAGATCTTTGGATTCTCACAACAAAAACACCCATCTTAAGATTTAACCCAAATGCATAACAAACCACGAGTCCAAAACTTCCAATTACCCCTTACCTCTCCATATACAAACGAAAAGAAAGCAATTGACACAATCGAAATTCCAATCTCAAAGCGGAAAAAGGAGAACCAGACAAGAAGATTTTGAAGAGGAAGAGAAAGAAAAAGACAACGTGACTGAATAAGTGAATTAGATAACGATTTGTTTAAGAATTGCAACCACCACCACCACCACCACCAGCAGAAGAGAAAATCACAAACAGTCAAGGGCGTGACTAGGCAGCGACCTTATCGCCATTGTTGCTGTTGCTTGCGGATTACAGTGAAAGGGAAGGTTCGCTTACCCCGCGCCTTCATCATGAAAGTGGAAGGTCATCATGAAGGTGGAAGGCCTTATATAAAGTTTGATAGGATTGGACTCACCGAATCACAGCCGCATGCCAGGTCCACGTCAAGAAAAACTTGGGAGTCTGGTTACAAAATGGTTATATAAACAAGTCCACCATACGTTCTAATGAATTAACCTTTTAAGAGAAAAGTAATAATTTTATGATAAAATAGTATCAGAATCAAGCTCAAGTTTACTCAATGGGTGAATTCCTCTGATGTGCAACTTGGCCAGAAGAATTATCGAGTCCCATATTAAAGAGGCTTAAAGAGAGTTCTAATTATATAAACAGTTGCGCTACACATCTTAATAAATTAATTTTTTAAGAAGAGAGTAATAATTTCATGACACACAGTTCATTGTTAATAGACTAATTTTTTAAAAAAGAGTAATAATCCCGTGACACATGACTCAATAAAACTATAAAAAAAGAAAGATTCTTTATTGGAATTTTCAAACTCTTATTACCAACTTCAGATAACTAAACTTAGTAAAGAAAAAAAATTGATAAAATTGTAAAAGAAATGTATAAATAAATTTAATGTAAATTTATTTCAGTTTGATTTTGATTTAAAGAAGCAAAATCATGAACCAATTTGAATCAAACTGAACCAAATCAATTGATTATGTCAAAAAAAAACTAATTTTACTTAAAATCAATTTTGATTAGATCGTTCTTAACATCCTTAAAATATGCCTATGATTTGAAGATTCGTGTAAAAGTGTACATTTAATTTTAACTTTATACAAGATTTTAGTTTAATTTTTAAATTTTATAAAATATATTTTTGTCATTTTTATTTTTAAAAAAATAAAATCATAATATTAATATTTAAAAATATTTTATCAATATTAAAAAAATGACATAGACATTTTTTGTTAATAAAATTAATAATGTTAAAATTAAAGAATCCAAAAGACACTTTATAAAATTAAAATATTAAAATAAAATTTTGCATGAAGTTAACCTCAAAAAAAATTATACTGCTAAAAGTGTTTTTTTTATAAATATACAGATTTATTTAGTTTTCAATGGTTGTCCCAGGAACAAAAACATAGGGTGAACGAATCATTAATATTAATAATATTCTCAATTAAAAAAAAAGTCTTCACGTTCGCAACAAGATTTGATCTCATTGTTGCTCTTATGAGAAATAAGACACGTTTATTATTGTTATCTTTTCATCTTTTAGTGATTGTGCTTTAGTGAAACAACATCATTATCTATGTCTTACAGTGTTGCTTGAAACAAACAAAAACCTTTTTATCAACTCAATTTGATTAAAATCATATTGAACATATAACAATAGATTTTGCTCTAACAAAATAATAATAATCTTTCACAACATAAGGAATCAGAGTTCAAAATTTTATTAAAAAATATACTTATATTAATATTTAATTATGTCTTAAATAGAAGAATATATATGCACAATCAAAAAAAATTATATTCAACCTATATATCATTTAATTTTTCTTTTAGCTACCATTTGAGGCCTATAATATAGACTAATCTGGTTGGTAGCTCGCGGGTATCACTTTAAAGGATATATTTTTTATTAAAAATTTTAATTGTCATTGTATATCCAAAACTCAAACTCTACACACTCTAATTACTTAAGAGTAGTCAACCCTAGCTAGTTGATTCAAGTAGCTCGGGGTTTTATTATAGAAAAAAATTACATATTTAAAATATTTATTTTTAATTAAATCAAAACATGCATAATTTTTATAAATTATTTAATTTATAACAATTTTTTATTAATATTATTAACGTATTAAAATTTACATATCTTGATTTGATTGAATTAAGGTAATTAAATATATAAGTCTTGTCCTTTATTTTATATATTATGTAACTATTATTTAAATTGTCTAATTAGTGATTATAGGTGTTTTATTTAGCCTAATTTAAACCAAATCAATTCTATATCGTTTAATGATTATTATTCTTTGAACCCAGATTCGTTACAAGTCACCCAAATTATTACGAATGGAACGACTTTAACACCATAAATAATTATATCATATAACTTTTACAAATTTACCATATATGTTATTTACTAAGAAAAATGAATAAATTTAAAATTTAATTCCCAATTACAAGATTCTATCGGTATTACTATGACTTCTTTGTTTGATATAAAAGAAAATAAAATAAAAAGTAAATTTAAACACATAAAATAGCTTCCACGCTTTAACTGAGAAAATAACAGTAAAAAAAATAAAAATTTCTAATAATAATTATGAAAACATTCGGAATAAGTAAGTGAAATTAACATTAACCTTGTAGCTACTTTTTCTTTCTGTTAATATGATTGTCCTTTTACTAAAAAAAAGAATAATTAAAATCCATCTTCGTTGCCCCATATCAAACGCATTTCTCTTTATCCTTTCCTTGACATGCAGAGGTATGATCCAATGAAACACTGAATTTAATAATCATAAGAATGATTCTATATAATCAACATATGAATGAAAATATATAACATGTCACATCTGTAATATCTCAATTTAAATTTTAATAGTTAATTGGATTAATAAAAATTTTAAAAAAATATTTAGAGGAAAGAAAATTAGTAAGAGATAATTATTAAATCTAACTTAGGATATAATTCTAAATTAAAATTTAAAAAATAATTAAAAAATAATAAAAAATAAAAAAAATATTATTAAATTATTATTATTATAATAAAAAAAAGAAAAGGAAGAAGAAGAAGAAGAAAAAGAGAGAGGAAAGAAGAAATAATAAAAAAAATGTGAGATCCACTGAATTTTTATAAAAACTCACATATTCCTTCGTTTCTTCATTCTTTCCTTCGTGTGCGAGCTGAGGCAGAGTGAGCGTGAGTCGCCGGTGCGAAAAATCTAAGGTAAGAGTTTTTAATAGAATATTTAGGGTGTATTTCAAATTTTTCAAGACTAAGTAAGTATTCAAAAATTTTTTCTTTGTCATCCTTCCTCTTTGGTTTCTGAGTTTGTACTGGTAGAAAATTTAAGATTTGGAAGAGAGATAAATTTATGTTGAATAAATATGGTTTATGAGGTTGTTAGTAGTATAATAAATATTCTAGAGTATAAATTTGTTGATGATCTTTAAATTTGTGGCTTATAGATCAAATTCTAAACTAGATTTGAAAATATATGTTGATTTATTGAGGTTTAGATGATTATTTGGGATGAGAAATGAATTATTATGGCTATAGGATTATGATTCTAAGCTAGAAACTCAATTTTTAATTTTTGGGTATTTTAGGTACGAATTTATAAATAAAAAGAAAATTTGATAATAGACATTAGTTTAGAAGTTGATTTTTAGATTATTAATGTTTATTGATAATTAAAAGAGGGAGTTAAAAATTTTACTTAATAGTGTTAACTCTAGATTTGTATTAAGATTGATATTAGGAATTATGTTACATTTTTAATTCTATTATTAGAATTATTTTATTAGTTTCAAAAATTGAAACTAATATTTATAAATAATATGTTATTTGTAGATTGTATTATTGGTGAAGATTGTGGTGGGGAGAGAAATTTTAAGGAATAATTTATTAAAAAAGCCATGAAGTAACCATGCTTTTAATTTGTAATTAGTGTTACTTCATGTTAATTGGGTGATTATTGAGAAAATTATGAATTTTGTAATATCGTATAATTGTGCAATATTATTATGAATTTGTTTGATTATTGTGGGAGATATTGGGAGACTTGCTATTGTTGTTGTATTTATGTGCCACGTGGTACGCCTCTATTGGAGCTCAATAGATGGCTTGTAAGGACTCGGGTTAATCTACCTTTGGCCAGATAATTTAGCACCGAGTGAGGGCTATGGCTCGAGATTAATGGAGCGATATAAGAATGGTTATTTGTGTGTATTATAATATTTTATATTTTGTTGGAATTATATTATTTTTAATTCTCACTTAGTAAGCACACATTTAATTGTTTATATACACTATCATAAATTGGCTATGGTTACTGGGACTTTTGAGTCGCATTATGTGATTAACAATTTTCAGGAGAAGAACCACGAGTGACACGTGGAGGAGTCCCAGAGGGCTTAGCGGCATAGATCCACTGTCTCTTTTGGGTATTTAATTTATTATTTATAATGTGTTATATTGTCAATATTAGGGCTTTTTGTTTATTGATAATTATATGAATATATAAATGTAATTATGCCTTTCAAACTATTTTTATTTTTGATACACTTTGGATGACTGTAATTTTAATATTTGATTTACTTTGGATTGGTTAAAATGGCATGATTATAAGGCCAAATAACTGGCTTGTTTTAAAAATTGACTAAATTAGTTATTTTACTTGTTGGGAGTATAAGGATGGACAAATGTGATTTAGTTTACTTGTTGAGAGTATAAGGATGGACAAATGTGCTTTAGCCTAATAGCATGTGGGAGGTAAAAATTTATCTAAAAATTGATATTGTGCAAGTTTAAGCTAATTATAAAATATTTTTTTATATTGAATTTATTAATATAAAATGTGTTGGGTGGCTGTAACCCAACTATGGTTGAGTTAAATTATTTAAAAAAAAATTAGTGTGTTACAACATCATATTATTGTAATCAATATAAAATAATATTTAATTTTCACAAATTATGTACAAAATAATTTTTTAATTTAAAATTTTTATTTTTAAATCTTAAACAAATGGCCTTTATTATAATCATAATAATATAATCCACTGATGAGTAAAAATAACCTATATATATTTGCTTTAGTGGGATATGAAGAAGGTAAAATTATTTTATAGGATGAAATTCGTAAAACCATTTATTATTAAGGATTAGATATTAATATTTAGCATTCAAACACGAAAACTTACATATTTCAAGCATTTAATAGTTGAGATCCTTGTGTTAAATGATTTCTAAAACGTATGGCAACTCACATAGCTATGCTTCTTCAAAATACAAGCCCTGAAAATTCAGTGAAAGAAGGTACAAAAATCAGCTCATGTCAGTAAGGGATATATATCAACAAGAAGATCCCTATTATCTTGGGGACT